ACACACACACACACACACACACACACACACACACACACACACATATATATATATATTGTGACACACACACACACACACACACACACATATATATATATATTGTGCAAGATACATGTATAAAGTTGTATAAATATATATGTAGAGTTAATACGCTTTGTGTTCATTTTAATTCAGTACATTAGTTGCATACTCACCGCGATAGATTGTTGATGCATCCACACCAGCCCGCTCGCATTGGGACCAAAGCTCGATTCTTGTGTGTTTGCTGCGCTGGAGGGTTGCTCTAGGTGTAATGGCGGATCGATATCTAACAATACTTTGGCATTCTCATCCATCCGCCATACAATCTCTCCTTGCGGTTTAATCACCGATAAAACCAAATCTGTGAAGAAAGTTCAAAAAATGTAGTCCCAAATATTGGGCCTTTTTAATGTCACACTCAGGCGGTTCAATTGTTCAATTGCACATGCAGCCATTCTTATCATTGGTTCCTCTCACGCGCATAGGTAATCTTGGATCCATCCGTAGCAATATCCACTCGTTTGAAGGAAACGTCTTCTTCAATGTCTCTAGCAGCGTATCAGTGCTCTTGCGGAAGCAAGTAGACTAGACTAGTACATCCAGCGATCTAAAGAGAAACAAGTGGTAAATTCGCCAACAAACATACTCGTTTTGTCTCGGTTGTAAAAGTCCTTTTGGCACGAGATCAACCCGAACCACTCGCGCGATAATTCCACCACAGCCGAAGACGTATTAGCCATCAAAGATTCGTACAGCATCAGCCATAACGAAGGCTCTCCCTGTTGAAGTATAGGTACAAGCCTGAGTGACCGGAGGCTCTGTCTGTCAGAATATACACAGATGCGAGACTGAAATATCTGACACTCTACACTGTGTCAGATATTTCGCAAATAATTGTACTGCGAGACTGAAATATCTGACGCTGGAATTATTTACAGAATTGTCAGACGTAAACACAGAGTAGTACGTTGATATAAGCACCTACACTCTGGAAATCCCCCACGCGCTGGGGCTGAGAGCATCTCCAAGCATCAACCGAACCAAGAACTAAAGTCAAAACGGAACTGCCAAGCAATCGAAATAAAACTCGATCGCCAAACGGACCAATTGTTATAGTTTAGAAAAACATTGAACGGTCTACGGAGTCTTCTACGCGAAAGTCCCATTGAACGAACTTGCACTCAGGATAATCAACTCCCACGGATTGTCCGAGCGGCGAGTTATGAACTGAAACAGAATGAGAACTGGCAGGCATACACTACGAATGGTGTCCACCCCCTAACAAACATAACACACATAACAAACACAACAAAAATAACAAACACAACAAAAATATCTAACATACCTCTTCTAATTTAGACGAAAGAACGACGTGACGACTCAATATGGGCAGTGGACGCACAGTGGCGTTGTCAACGAACCCAACGATTGACAGCACATCCGATAAGGGCCGCATCTCAGCTGCATATAAAAGCGTGCAACAGACTGCATTGTTGGTATGCATGGGTATTATCTCAGCTGCATATAATAGCGTGCAACAGACTGCATTGTTGGTATGCATGGGTATTATCTCAGCTGCATATAATAGCGTGCAACAGACTGCATTGTTGGTATGCATAGGTATTGGCCAGCATACACACCTCACCCAATACACAGCGCAGCAGAATGAGCAGACAGGCGCTGAGGTTCGTGCGATTTGTCAGTACCAAACTACAACACATCTCTACACGCGGGTGAGTGTAAAGTTCTAGAGCCCTGAATGCATACTTTATATATAGTTCATAAGCTTCCAATGTATGCTAGATATGCAGGTCTCCAGCCTCGCAAACACGCACTCATAAAGCTACTGAGCCTCGGATGAGTGCTTCACCTTGATGTGCTCACTAAAAGCTCTCGCGCCACCGTCAAATATACCTTGCTCTGAAAATCTTTCAATATGATAGGTTTGGAGACATTGCCCACAACTCGCGGTATATATATCGTAAATCAAAGAGTTATAAAAGACTTACCTTCAATAAATACCAATGTAGAGTAAAACAGTCTATACTGTGCTAATACCAACTAGAACTAGTATTACTAAGTTATCATCCAGCTTGCATACAAGTCGGTGAACGTGCATATAGCGGAGGACGCTTGCTAGTGTAGGGCTCGATAGGTGCCATACAAAACCACAACAACGACAGAAAGTTCAAAATATCGATGTTGATTGGCTGAGGGATTTCTTCTTCGGCTGACTACTCCGTCTTAATTCAATGCATACGTCCATCAACTATATCCGCCACACCTCCAGACGCGCACCATTCGTGCTGATGTGGTTCATGATAGAGCCAACAACATCGGTGGAGTTAGCCAACGCATATTCATACTTACTTGATGATTTCAAGCGGAGAGTATACTTCGGCGGGGTCGGGTACAGTGTGATGCGGTCAGTCAAATGCCCCAACGCGAGGTGGCCGGAATAGGGTGTGTCTACGATAAGAAGTGATAGAATGTATATATCACTTATATCAGAAACATGTGTCTTCTTGTTGCGTTCGCGCTGTTACGGATAAATACTTACAATAAATACAGCCTACAACAACGTTCTGGATCTCGCATTTGTCAGTAGTGATTTACCGCGTGGTTCCAAGGTCATTGTACAACTCACTTGATCGAGATTAAGCGACTCAACGCTGGAAGTATCGACCTCCCAGTTGACTAACACAAACAGCTCTCCCCACTTAACACACAGGATTATCACTGACATATACAAATAGCACTGGTTCTCTCGGTAGGCATGGTGACGTCCTTACAGCATGAGCCAGCAAGTGCGTTCATGGGGCTGGTGAGATCGGGAGTTACGTCGGTGGTGTAATTGACACCACATATTGAGCGGCAGAGCAAGGCCAGGGCTGATGGGTTTGGAATGCTCGAGACCTCGATCATGCTGTGTACAGTATTAGATAAGGGATATATTATCAATGGACAAAGAAGCCGTTTACAGTTTGGTGGGTAATAAGTCTACTCTCCAGTTGTCCTAGACACGGGTGAATTGAAGAACAGTTGGCACCAAGACGAACCCCAGATGAGCTATGCACGTTTTATTTGAGATGTGACCCTTCGACGAGCTGTATACACACACCATCGCTGACCTTAACGCATGGTTCTGGTTCTTAACGTACTGCTCTATCTATATAGAGAATACGTAGTGTTCCATAAAGATCGAATCTAAAACCCTAAAACCCTAAAATAAAAGACACATGCAGACGATCATCCGATCCACAGCACTCGGCCAGTTGCCATTGGTTATCATATTCTCTGACCGGCAAGCACCGCTACCAGACTCCACGACACAGGCCTGCCTCGAATAAGGCCGATATAAACAACATGCTGAAACTTATTTCCTATGTCCGCCATGCAAATACCCAGTTGTTATATCGGTGACTATACACTGCACGTTCAACTGCGGCCCGCAAGATGTAAATGATACTATCACAGCCGACTGCGTTCCGAACTTCGGACAGTGTATGGTGCCCTAGTACTTCCCAACACGAAAACCCCGCAGCAAAACGAAAGGCGGAGGCCAAATCCCCACCACACCAAGACCAACCCACCGCGTGGCTCAGCTCAACATACCCGTCCGCCTTCATCAGCTGGCTGGTCGTTGGTGCCTCTGCTTGCCCCTCTGCGGTGTTTGGCAGAGCTGCAGGACCTTCGGTACCCACAGCTCGGTCGTTGCTGCGCACACCTTCGTTGGCGCTGTTGACAAGTGTACCAGGCTCATGCTTCACCTCCGCGGCTTCCGTCTTGATTCTCTTCGCGGGTGGTTCTGGGTCTGTGGATGTACTGTCTAAGTCGCGCTTGGCCGTCGGTGGGGTGGGGTGCCTGACTACGAGCAGATGGAGTTCGCAATATGTGGGCAAGCCATTGGGCTGATTCTGCGGACCGCCTGTGCTGGGAGTGAGTGCCGGTTCAGTGTGTGATGTGATGGTTCAGTGTCTATGTGATGTGCTGGTTCAGTGTCTATGTGATGTGATGGTTTAGTGTCTATGTGATGTGCTGGTTCAGTATCTATGTGATGTGCTGGTTCAGTGTCTATGTGATGTGCTGGTTCAGTGTCTATGCGGTGTGTGCCGAGTGGCATGGTCGATGTGGCGCATGTCTAGGACGATATCCGTGAAGTGTCAACATTGATTCTTTCTCACTACGCACAATTAAGCGCACGGGGTTTGTACCGACAACTGTCTTATCGTGTCATATGCAAGTGATGTATTCCACAGTAAAGAGAACACCATCGTGAGCAAAGATGCTCAACAGCGCCATAGGCTGTATGTCTACCATCATTGAAAAACTCTGGCTACGGTTAAACCGTGCAGTTGGGAAACAGGACACGTCACACTCGTTCAATTGCTCAATCAATATCGGCCAAGCAGCACAGTTTAAGTACAGACCCAAGCCAGGCTCAGCATTCAGAGACATGCATTGAGAATGTTTCAGTACCAAAAGAGGTAGCCAGCGTTAACAAAGCGAGCTCAACGCACAGAACTCAAGAGAGACACACCGTACTGCGCGTACCCTCGAGCAAGGGTGGAGGTTCCTCTCCATGGTATAGTCAATTTCAGGTCTGTCTGCTACGGGAAATGATCACCATAGTGGGTTGTGTTCGATAACAGACTGAACTAGGGGCCGTTGCGTTAAAACAATATACACCCACAGTGGTAAACGTTCAATGCCTTCGATGTAGCGTCTTGTGATGTACCACAGGCGCAAAACGTACGTCTCACACACATAACTTATAAACAATCTGCTGGTGCGGCATCACTGTACTACAGGTCTCTCGCCCACAATCGTTCCTACAGCACCATTCAGCAAGGGACAGCCTTAAGCATACCTTACTAACACACACACAGGTTTGAACGTACCTTCCAGAAGGGCTTCATTGGCTGTCACCAAGACAAAGTGGCACGGTCTCCCAATGGGCACGTTGAGCTGCGTGTGCTCCTGGAATATTCCCGAAAGCGCATCTGCGACACTGCAGGTGGTCTCAAATGAGGTGTCCAGTGCCGATCTGAGTGTACACAACGGACAGGCACATCGTAAGCATTTGTGTGGCTGGGACCGCGGGGGACTGGCACTATGTGCGAGAGGAGCTAAACCCTCCGCGAGATTCACATCACACAGCCCACAATTTATACGGAACACTTTGTAGATAGAATGTACACAGACAAGTGAAGGCAGACCTCACATAATGTGTTGTAAATTCAACTTACATCGCCGACAGGAGTTTATCGTAGTCACGCGTAGCTGCCGATAGTTCGGTGCCCTTTCTGTATAATCCGTTGAATGCAACGGCCCTGAGGTCGTCATTTGGGGTTATGGACCTCAGAGCTCTAACCAGCTGAGTGATAGCTGCATTCGTGAAAGTAGGTTAAATGAGAACGCGCGTTTGAAACTCAATCGACACTACGAACGTAGGTGGCTTTTGAACACATATCTAAATATGTCGTGGCGATTGGAAGAGCAGATCACTCGTTGTGAGGTTCAGCAAATGCACTTGACTATGTATACTTCGCCATAAAAATAATTAGGATATACATACATACATACATACACACATATATATATATATATTTATATATATATACACATACATACATAC